CGCAGCTATGAATGCAGCCTGACACATCATAAAGTTACTTTTACTTACTTGTTAAAATGTGCTTATACTTATCGAACACATACAGCCAGAAAAAAATTGACCGTCTCTTTATTAGACTTCTATATGTTTTATCTTTCTAAAGAAAAATGTCCAACTCTTCATTGTCATGCCTTATTCATCTCATTCGTTTTCGGCAGCACCTATATTTGTGAGCAACTATTTTCAAGATTGAAGCATACATTGAGAATTCATTGAGAATTGCTACTACATCCATTGAACCCGATATTGATGTGTTAGTTTATCCAAAACAGTGTCAAATATTGAGTAAAAAAAGGTGCCGCGCTAAATAATTTGTTATAGATCGAAAATGTTCTTAATTTAAACATCTAAAATCACCATAAACAATAAATATGTGACATAAGTGCAAAGTCAGATATCATTCAATAGTGACTATCAACGAGAAAGAGTGTTGTAAACTACAAAGTCCACACTAAGTGCACATAAGATCCCCAAACGATCCTCAAAATCCAGTGGCTGGATCCCTGGGTGAGGTGATAGATATGTAAAGATTGCGCACTCACCAGATACGCAATCTAAATGCGCATATAACAGGTAACCACAGGACATCAAGGATCCTATTGCCTCTGGTCAGATCAGGTCAGATATCCCTCCACTGTATGTAAATGCTGCCACACATAGGAGAGCCGCTCTGCGGATGTAAATGGCTCCCAAAGGAGCTCCTCGCTGCAGTGGTGATTCCTTTCATGAATGGAATTCAAGTGTTTTACTTTTTTCTTTTGGTTGTCTTATAGAGCAAAATGCAGGTCAATGTCCTAAAAATGCAGCATGCTGGAACTGGTAAATTGATTTTAAGGTGTTATTAATATATTACTATATATTATGTACACTCTCTGTAATAGATCCCTGTATAGCATTATTATTTTGTAAGGAGACCTGAGTGGTCATGCTGGCACTTGTAATTTTTAAGGCTTCATTCATAATGTATGATAATATGTGTCACAAACATCTGAATTCTCATCATGGTGTGTCACGACTTGTTAAAGGTTGTGAATCACCAGTCTTGGAGCTAGGCATTAGGTGTTAGGAGCTAATGGCTATGCAATATGGTCCAAGAGAATATTAAAACTTCTAAATCTGCACAATGTGTGACTAAGAGTACATTAGAACTGCAATGTCTGTGCAACGTGTGACTTTGAGACTGTTAACACTGTTTTAGCTGAGAAATTCAATAGCTTTAAAAAAACACCACATGTTGGTAGTGAAGCCTGGCCTAGAGTTTTACAGCAACCTTAATCTTATGCCTATATGACATGGATTTATTCCAGCATATACTACATTTAAAAAAAAACAACACTGAACTTTTGTTAGAAAAAAAAAATGTGTGTGTATACATATATATATATATATATATATATATATATATATATATATATATATATATATATATATATATATATACATACACACATATATATCATTTTTTTTTTTAATTATAATGCTTAGGGAAAATACTTTTATTTTATTTATTTATTATAGCTACAGTATTTAAATAGCGTGTTGATTTTCGCAGCACTTTACATACATATTTTACATTAACCACTTGACCTCCGGAAGGTTTTACCCCCTTCGTGACCAGAGCATTGTTGCTATTCAGCACTGTGCTATTTTAACTGCTAATTGCATGGTCATGCAACACTGTACGAAAATGAAATTTATAAAAAACATTTGCACAAATAGAGCTTTCTTTTGGTGGTATTTGATCACCACTGGGTTTTTTGTTTTTTATTAAACGAAAAAAACATTTTCTATTTTCTGTTGTAAAACATATCCCATAAAGAAATCTAATTTATTCATGAATTTAGGCTAAAATGTATTCTGCTACGTCTTTGGTAAAAAAAAAAAATCCCAATAAGTGTATATTAATTGGTTTGTTCAAAACATATAGCATCTACAAAGGATGGTATATAATACTACAATTTATGTGGCTATGACGCTATACTGGTAATGGTGATCAGCGATTTATAGTGGAACTGTGATAGTGTGGCAGCCAATCTGGCACTAACTGAGGCTGGCTGCGAAGTACACTAACTGACTGACACTAACATCAAAAGTGACACTAATACAGTGATCAGTGCTATTCTCTCCCTCCTAGATTGTAAGCTTCAAGGAGCAGGGCCCTCAAATCCCTCTGGTATTGAACTGTATTGTTACTGTATTGTCTCCCCACTATAATGTAAAGCGCTGAGCAAACCGTTGGCGCTATATAAATCCTGTATAATAATAATAATTACTGTACACTGTCCCTGTACTAATGACACTGGTTGGGAAGAGGTTAACATCTAGGGGCAATCAAGGGGTTAATTATGTGCCTAACAATGTGTAATGTGTGTAATATGTGCTGCTTTTACATTACTATATGGCTTTTTTTTCTCCCTCCTTTGCAGGAAATAAAAACAGCCATATCACTGCTCCCTGCACACAGAGTTCTGTGTTTTGTAAACACAGAACTCTGTGTGTGGTTGAACACAGCTAATCAGCTGACTTCAACCAAAATCATTGGCTGAAGTGAGCTGCCAAGCTCGTGCTGTGTCCAATCAAACCCAGAAAAAGTCAGGTCACATACATATTGTATATAAGTGATCGTTCCATTGTTCCTGCAACTGCCACTCGCTCGCAGATATACACTGTAAGCAGTTGACAGGTGGTTAACAGCAGTCACTGCCTTCAAGGAGCTTACAATCTAAGTTCCCTAACTCACATTTATATATACACATACTAGAGCCAATTTAGGAGCCAATTAACCTACCAGCATGTCTTTGGATTGTGGGAGGAAACCTATACATGCACAGGGAACACATGCAAACTCTGGGCAGGCAGCAGCTTGTTTGGCATTCAAATCTATGACCCTAAAACTGCTAGATGGAAGTGCTAAGCACTTAGCCACTGTTATGCCCCTGTTTTATTCTTAATCAGGTCAATATAAAAGTCTATACATTCTGCAAAAATTTGTAAATTCTTTCTCACAGCACAAATAGGTGAATGTATCAGTGCAAGGGACATACCCCTCTTCATACTGTTACTGATGTTCTGTTCAAACAGAAGCAATTAACAAGAGAGGGCTAGGATTGTTTATTAGAGAACCAAGCATGTTCCGCAAACAACCTGCCATGGAAGTACGTATTTCATATGTATTTCCATGGCCTAAAATTATGCAGTGTCCATAACTGATTATAGAAAACTGACAAAAATTATTATAGTTTCCCTAAAACCTCACAAATGAAACAGCCCAATGGAAAAAGCTCCATATACATATGCTTTCTTTTTTTTTAAGTTGTCAATAAAAATATTAGCTGCCTAATATTTTGCATCCATAGGGAGCAATTTAGGCTAATTTTCTCATACTGTATGTCCTTTTTATCTCTTTACATCTTTGTTTACAGGCTCTGTAGCTAAAGCTGCAATCTACAGAAGTAGATAACTCTTCAGAAGTAGGAATAGATTGCTTCCAGGCATACCTGCCCTTAATTTATTTATTGCTTTATATGCTCTGATATGGAGACTCTCGAAGACTAGAGTTATGACTGCAATTGTCAGGAATGGACTTGCTAGTAATGGTGGGACTCACCTGCCTTGTGGGCTGCAGTACCAGGGCTGGCCAGTGGGTGCTCTCAGCAATCAGAGACTCAACCCTGCAGCCAGCCAAACACCTGAAGCTGATTATGCAGGTGTATTTAAGGGATGGCCAGACCTGCAGTCTGGGCCTTGGTGTGTGTTTTTCCTGGGCCCCTGTATCTTGTTACCTGCATCCCTGTCCCTGTCCCTGTCTGACTGATTCGTTGCTGACCCTGCCTGATCCGGACCTCTGCTGACTTCTCCTGTTTGATCCCTGGCTTGTGACCCCGGCCATTCTCTGCCTGACCCCCTGTACCTACCTGCCCGTTAGTTGCTGTACCCGGCTTGTGACCTGACTACTCTCTGCCTGCTCCTCCTGTTCCTACCTGCCCGATTGTTATTGACCCGGCCAGCCTGACGACGCTTGCATTGTATGTATTGTTATCTGTGGGTGGTTTTGGTTTGGTTCGTTTGCACTGTGTTATGTTTTAGTATTGCACTGCGTTTATGTATTGTTAGTGTTAATAAATTATATTGTTTATAACATATCTGAAGCCTGCGTTTCCCTGCGTCAGTTCACATACCTCTGGTCATACCCGGAGCTCTGACATTACACCAAGGCCAATCCTGACCAGAAGTGGCTGCACAGGGAAGCCATCTTGGCTTGTTGCTGGGAAGGATGGATCTTGATGAGGTTGTGTATTTGTCGCTGCTGGTTTTTGATGACAGAGAATATGCTTATCAGGCTCTGAGGGAGTATACCCGGGATCAACTGCTAGAATGTATACGGATCGCTCATGTTCTAGTAGATCAGGGCACAGAGTTCTCTGAGGTGCAACCTTTGATTCAGGTTTGTGTAGAGTTGGCTTCATCTGGTACCCCTGAAAGCAGGAATGACTTTTTGCCACCATTTAGTGCAGACCAGGTAGAGTCCCTGGTATGGTTATTAGAGGATGATGTGGATTGCTTCTTGGAGCATTATGCTGCATGTTCACCACAGGTATTAAGGGATTGTATAAACGCAGTGCAGTCTTTGGTCAGACAGGCTTTGTGTAAGCTGAGCTTTGTTCAACCCATACTGCAGACATGGTCAGACTTGTTGCACCCAGCCTCAGTCAGCTTGCAAAAACCCAGTCCTGCTTCTAATCAGTACCCTGTTCCCACTCGCTGCACCTATCCTGCCTTTAACCCTGTAAAGAAGCCCTCTGTAGCAAATGTTCCCTCCCCTGTTCCATCCTCCAGCTCTTCTCTGTCTCCAGCTGCTCCATCCGTTTACAAACCTGCGCTTACTTACAGTGCTCCGGTAACTAAAACCAGAAAAAAGGCGAAAGTTCTTTCCAACCAGTACCATCCTGCCAGTATCCAAACCGGTCAGCCTCCCATCTGAGAACCTGTCTTCCGTGGTGCAGCCTGGTGCCTCGGCGCCCACAATTCAGCCTGATGCTTCTACCCAGCCTGAGGCCTCTACCCAGCCTGAGGCCTCTACCCAGCCTGAGGCCTCCATTCAGCCTGATGTCTCTACCCAGCATGATGTTTCTACCCAGCCTGATGAACTGATCCAGCCTGATGATTCCATTAGGCCAGTTGACTCGATGCCCGCTGTCGATCCAGACGATCCGGTACCTGATGACCCAGTGCCCGCTGTCATGCCTGGTGACCCGATGCCCGCTGTCGAGCCAGACGATCCAATGCCTGGTGACTCAGAGCCCACTGTCGTGCCTGGTGACTCGGTGCCCACTGCCTTGCCAGATGACGCGGTGCCCGTTGTCGAGCCAAATGACCTGATGCCTGGTGACCCGATGCCTGTTGTCATGCCTGATGACCCGTGCCCCGCCGCTCCGCCTGGGGGCCCGGTGCCTGCCGTCCCTCCTGGGGGCCCAGCGCCCGCCGCTCCGCCTGGGGGCCCGGCGCCCGCCGCCCCACCTGGGGGCCCGGCGCCCCGCCTGGGGGCCCGGCGCCTGTCGCCCCGCCTGGGGGCCCAGCGCCCGTCGCCTCTCCTGGGGGCCCGTCGCCCCTCCTGGGGGCCCGCCGCACTGCCTGGGGGCCCGGCGCCCGCCGCACCACCTGGGGGCCAGGCGCCCACCCCGATGTGCCTCTGCCCGGAGTCCAGCCCGATGTGCCTCTGCCCGGAGTCCTGCCCGATGTGCCGCTGCCCGGAGTCCTGCCCGATGTGCCAGTCTTTGATATCCCGCCAGTTACCAGACCCGGGCAGTGGAACATTTTGCCCAGCTAGAACTGTTTGGAGCGTCCAGAGGCCGCTCCTTGAGGGGGGGTACTGTCAGGAATGGACTTGCCAGTAATGGTGGGACTCACCTTGTGGGCTGCAGTACCAGGGCTGGCCAGCGGGTGCTCTCAGCAATCAGAGACTCAACCCTGCAGCCAGCCAAACACCTGAAGCTGATTATGCAGGTGTATTTAAGGGATGGCCAGACCTGCAGTCTGGGCCTTGGTGTGTGTTTTTCCCTGGGCCCCTGTATCTTGTTACCTGCATCCCAGTCCCTGTCCCTGTTCCTGTCCCTGTCTGACTGATTCGTTGCTGACCCTGCCTGATCCGGACCTCTGCTGACTTCTCCTGTTTGATCCCTGGCTTGTGACCCCGACCATTCTCTGCCTGACCCCCTGTACCTACCTGCCCGTTAGTTGCTGTACCCTGGCTCGTGACCTGACTACTCTCTGCCTGCTCCTCCTGTTCCTACCTGCCCGATTGTTATTGACCCGGCCTGCCTGACGACGCTTGCATTGTATGTATTGTTATCTGTGGGTGGTTTGGTTCGTTTGCACTGTGTTATGTTTTAGTATTGCACTGCATTTATGTATTGTTAGTGTTAATAAATTATATTGTTTATAACATATCTGAAGCCTGCGTTTCCCTGCGTCAGTTCACATACCTCTGGTCATATCCTGGAGCTCTGACAGCACTTTACAGAGGACCCTGGACAAGGCAGTGCATCTTCCATTTTTTTTTTTGGCTTGCTGATACATGTGGTATTTTTTTAACTCTTCAGAAGCAACCACTTTTGCACTGCATCTTTATTTATTATTATTATTATTATTATTATTATACAGTATTTATATAGCGCCAGAAGGTTTGCTCAGCGCTGTACATTGTAGTGGGGGACAGTACATGGGACAGTACAGTAACAAAACAATACACAAGGGGTTCGAGGGCCCTGCTCTTTTGAGCTTACAATCTAGGAGATTTATTTAACCCATAATCTACACTCTTTCGCTCTATGTATTTCTGTGTGTAGAAACTGTATACACAAAGATACAGTTAAAGCAACCGTTTAAAAAATCATATACATGACCTCAGATTTACGAAGAGTCGATACAGTGATGCTCATGGAATGTATTCATTATACATTATTGGATAGGATGCACTTACTTGACAAAAAATTGGAAGTTTGAAAAACTCATAGACATTTACTGTTTGACCAATGAACATTCATATTTTAATTAATGGTATCTTTCTGTTGGTGGCCTTATTGCTCTGCCTACCTTACTCATGTACTTAACTTTTATGTTCTATATAACTGTACCTTATTGGAATGAAATTACAGATGTGCCTTTTTTTTCTATTGTATGTTATACCTTATGCTGTTAAGCTGTTTCTGCAGCCTATTTCTTAGTAAATAAAATCGTTTGTAAACAAAAAAAATCATATACAAATAAAATTAAAAATGACGAGATACATTATAGCTTCCTTTTTACAAAAATCCTGTGTGAACAAGCCACATCCTGATCAAAGCTTCAACTCAGCTATGACCTTGAAGCTTGAGAACATTCTGGTCTTCCCAATATCAAGTGGGTGCATCACTGTTGATGTACTGTGTCAGGCAGTGGGACTGTGAGGGGAAACTGGGTATGCCAGAGCTCTAAAGCTGGAGAAGATTACCCATACACTTTTTCAGACAAAATGTTGGATCTGAGACAACTGAATTTATGGGCATACCAGGAGGATACCAGTCAAAAACAATAAGCCTGTTTAAAGAGTTCACTAAACATTCAATAAAGGAATCCCCCAACCCCCCCCCCCCCCCCCCTTCCCCCCTGCTGGCACTACCTCCTGGTCCTTTAACCTGAGGCCCATGTGTATCTAAATTGTAAATAAGGTTAATGGCACCAGTGCCACCTGTCACTGAAACTGATATCCAGGCTAAACTACAGAGATATATGTTCATGATATTTATATCGATAGGACCAGATTAAGTCTGTTTTATGTTTAATAGTGGGATGAGGATGTTGAAACTGTTTACCAATGAAGGGGTTGAGAAGTCTCAGCCATCATCCTTTGAGATTGATGCATAGATTAGCTCACGGGGGAGATTTATTAAAAGAATCAGATTTCTAGCACAAGTTTGTCCATTATTCAGTAAAAGAATACATTTTGTGTGTATTTGTCACCACTGCATTTGCAATCACAGATCCCTAACTCAATTCACAAAGCTTTACACAGGCATAAGGCTCTCTAATTTAGGCATGTGACTGTATTCTTAAGTCCTATTGGACTGAAAAAAAACGCTCGTTATTTTTAAGATAAGTATACTTGTCCTGGTATGTTAGCTTTGTGAATTGAACTCATTGACAGTTAAGCAAACATCAGCATCAGATTTATAACTGTTCTTCAAAGCATTTTATAGCTGTAAATGTATGTATGGTTAATGTGCACAGTTAGTAATTGAACATAAAATGTTAAATGCAGTTTAGGACTAAATCTTTAAATTCTAAAAGACAGCATAAATCAATGTTGACAGTAAAACATTTTAAGACAACTAAATTAGGGTTAACATATTGATCTATTCACACTATACACCACACTGAATGTGTTAAACATAACTCTGTCTGTGTTAGTGGTTATAGAGGGGAGCTGTAGAGAGAATAACATATTTTCAGCAGGAGAAAGGTTAACATCTGAACAAAGCTTGGAGGACTGTGACCAATTGGAGAGTCCATTGGGAGTTGGTTGTCAGAATGACTGTAAGGCCAGATGGGAATACACAATGTGCTAGATAACTGTGAGAATATCAAATTAGTTAGAAGCAGTTGCTGGGGACATTCAAGACTCTGAGCACAAACAGATGGAATGAAGGATTGATGCATTATGGGGGACTTACAAATGCCTGTAATCCAACAAAACCAGTATGTGGATAGGTGATTAAAAATAAAAGAATGAACTGACTGCTGCAAAGGATGTTATCTCTGATACAATGACAGTCTCTAGCTTGTAATTTTTGAAATATATGTTCTGAACATAATCTTAGAATTTCTAGTTTTCACTTCTAACAGTCACTCATAAATAATCTTTATGCAGAGTATAATTCTAATGAACATTTTCCATTTTACTTTAATCATTTGTTATGGGGAAACAACCATGCTTGCAGCACACTAGGTTAGTAAGCCTTGTGTTTTATACAATTGACAATGAGTGTTTTGGACCCAACTACTTGACATGTGAATGCAATTGCCAGCCAAACAGCTGCTGACCAAATTGTCAACTAAACTGCAGTTTTGATCATAAAGAATATGTTCCAGAAGTGCTTCTACAGTGCCTCTAAAGAGTAGACATTATGCCCCCAGTAACAACATTGATTCATCTGTTCCTCAGTGGTACATGTTCCAGTGCATCCCTGGCAGTACATCCTTGGTCTTTATTGCACCTACAATCAAAAGCATCCTATAGGCAATAATGTGGTTATGTGTGGTTATACCCTGGCAAAGCAGTGATGAGTCTGACATCATAAATTCAAATTAGGAAGTAGGCAGTACTAAGCATTTCTGAGCTTAATCTCAAAATGCCTAAATGAGTGGATAGAAACAACAATTCCCAGTAGAACAGAGACCTTAAGGGTGTGCTTATGCTTCTGATATTTCCTTTTACCCGTATATAACAGTCCTTGAATAGTAACGATGGAGTGGTGGTGCAGTATCAAGTGGCAGCTGTTAGGGGCTGAGAAAGTCACCTCTGGAAGTGATCTGATGACCTTATGGTCATTTAATCTCCAAATAGATTCCTTACAGAACTATGAAAAACTGTAAAGGCATCACTTACATACTGTTACATGGGGATGTGGGAGGCATCAGCTCTCATTTAAAAAAAAAAAATTAAAATATATATAAAGTGCAAAAATTAGTTAAAAAGAAAATAATCATACACATTAGAGATATGCATTAGATAACTTTCACATACCATGCATCACAAATACATACACTGTCAGTAGAACCCATGCATATACGGAATCTCCAAAAAGCCATATTGTGTCTAGGTATTCCTGTACCTGTTGGAGGCTTTAGAATAGATTTAGGAAAATAATATTCACTTGATACTAAACAGGTAACATATACAGCATATTATTGTATACTATGTATAGTTTTGTATGCAATCATTTTCATTCTATTGCATGTATGCACAGATTTTACATGTGTGCTAGTTATTAGTTAATCAAAATATCATTGTTTAGATTTAGCAGGAATTTTGTAGATATCGTTGTGGCTGTGTGCACAAGCAATCATTATCTTGTATTTTTATAAAAACTGAATGGTTGGCGAACAATTGTAGAAATATTGTGCAATGTAGAAAGCCAAGTGTCTAGTAATTCTACAGGATGTCTGTCTTCAGAAAATATATACATTTTAGGGGACTTTAGAGAATTTTGCTTTGGTTCATGTTATTTAATGGTACATGTAAAAAATTGCTTGGCCAGCTAACAAAAATTATAACATGGTCATGTCAGTGAATAAAACAATGTATAACTTTGTTATAGTCATAATCGCTTTATAACCCCAGGAACGTGAGATTCTGCTTGGCTCTGAAACATCACTGTGTGCTTTGATAGTGACTAAACTGTGTGGGATTAAATTA